AAACTTCTCACGTGTGACTTGATCCTAATACCAAGCTGGATGCAACTTTAGGAGAGGTTCATGGTGATGTGGGCATGTACCAGATGCTGGTCGGTTGCCTCATTTATCTGAGCATTACATGTCCTGGTATCACTAATGCTGCTTGTAGGGTGAGCCAATTTATGCATGCCCCATAATATTCACCATTAGAGGCAGTTACACACTTTTAAAATATGTTACACATGGTCCTCCTGGCTAGGACTTCTTGATGCACTTGGCAGTCCTTTGACTATTCAAGAAAGTTCTTATGAACTGTTTGATCCAATCAATCCATCCTTTGACGACCACTTTTATGATGATCTACATCCCAAGGTTGCAAGGAGATCTAGGAGAATGCCAACTTTTTAAAGGAGTTTGTTTTTAGTTTGTTGCTGTTTTTGCAGTTTTTTAGTTATTTCTACTGTTTTAATTGAAGTTAGGGGTAGTTTAGAGATCTTTTTATGTTTTATTTTAAGTAAAGGGACTTATGGGGTTTTTTTCTAATGTTTTAACTTATGTGGAGGTAGTTTTGGTCTTTTTGGGCGTAAACTGTAAAAACAGATCGTGAATAGTGGCAGAAGTCCTATCTAGGGTTATAGGGTAACTTTTTTGTACAACGAAAGCCAGATTCATTCAAGTCTGACTTGTTTTTATGGTTATCGAACTGTTTTTGGCCCCTTTTCTCCATCTTCTGCATCAAATTGGTATCAGAGCCTAGGTTTTCTTCAATAAAAAAGCTAGGAATCTACAAGAAGTCTAGTGTTTACTGATTTTAGGCCAAGTTACGCCAAATCAGCCTAGAACTTGTTGGTTTGAGCTTTGTTGGTTCTCTACGTAGGGTTTGTGAATTTAGTGCACCTATGGTAGCAAGAAGAGGTTGAGGCAAGTGTATTCATATGGATCCACCTCATGATGAGCTGGATTAGGAGATAGAGTATCTGAGATAACAAGTTCAAAGACTTACAAGGTGGCTTGTAGGATCATGAGCGAGATGAAGTTTTGTCCGTCCAAGATGATATTGAGTACAACCCTTTTCACTATCGTGCTCCGCAGGATGGTTGAGTGAAGACGAATATGATTGGAGGTATTGCAACACTCAAAATGTTCTTGATTTTGAAGGAAAGTTGCAGCTCGATGACTTCATTAGACTGGTCAAATACAATAGAGAGGGTCTTTGATTGCATGTTTGTGCCAGAGAATGAAAAAGTAGAGATTATTGCGATTAAATTGAAGAAAGGTGCTTCTGTATGATGAGAACAGCTGAGAGCAAGGCGAGAGAGGATGGAAAAGCCCAAAATTAGCACTTGGGAGAAGATGAAAAAGAAATTGATACCTATCTGAAAATTATCTGTAGTCGTTATATCAAAAGATGCATGTGTTGCGCCAACGAGATAGGTTGGTAGATGAATTCATAGATGAGTTTCACCTTTTGACTGCCCATAGTGATGTGATCGAGCGGGAGGAGCAGTCCATTGCTTGCGATGTGGATGGCTTGCGCCGATAAATTCAAGATGTGGTGGTGTTGCAGCATTATTAGACTCTTGATGAGGTCTATAACCTTGGAAAGAGGCTTGAAACTCAGCAAAAACGACCCTTGAACAAATGGAGTGCGAGCGATGGGGGAATAAGGTGGCAGCCCGTGGTGGTGCTTTTGGAAGAAAAGGCAGTGTGATTGGTGCGGGTTCGACATCTCGCATTGCTGGAACAGCCAACCGCCAAGGTGTCTTTGAGCCTTTTGATTTAGTCAATCCATCCTTTGATGCCCCCTTTTATAATGTTCCACTTCCCAAGGTCGCAAGGAGATCCAGGAGGAGAAGACTGATTTTTTGGAGGAGTTTTTTTTTTTTTGAAATGTTGACTTCTGTATTGATAAGAGAGAGTACAAGGTTATTCCAGGAGGCTCTTAGGGAGACTCCTGGTAAAAAGGAATTGGTCAGAAGACCATATACAAAATGGGGTTATAGGAATTTCCCCTTACATCATTCTTGCACATATACAAGTAAAAGAAAGGAAAAGAGAAAATACAAGATACATCCATAAACAAAATTCAGGGACAAGAGCATCCAGAAGCAAAATCTAGGTGGGGGAGGATGTAAACTGGCAAGTTAGGCCTTGTCATGGGCGTCAGCTCCATCATTGGCCATCAAATCGGCGAACCCATTCGATGTCCTCGAGATATGCCTCCAAGATACTGTCATCTTACTGCAAATGTGGTTAATCTTATCAAAAATATGTAACAGTTGCCATGGTGGGCGTGTAGTCCCAGAGGCCCAAGAAATAATGTTTTTAGCATCACTGCAAATGTGGTTAATCTCATAAAACATATATAACAGTTGCCATGGTGGGCGTGTAGTCCCACAGGCCCAGAAATAATGTTTTTAGCATCACCCTCCACTACCAGTGAGCGACCCCAAGAGGGATCGAAGCATTGGAGCCCTTTCAGAAGGGCCACGGATTCTGCAAATTGAGAGTCTTGAAAACCAAGATACTCAGAATATGTGAAGAGGATATTCTCATGATTTTTTGGAGGAGTTATTTTTAGTTTATTCCTGTTTTTGCAGTTTTCTAGTTATTTCTAGTGATTTAATTAAAGTTAGGGCAGTTTAGGGATCTTTTATGTTTTATTTTTGGTGAAGGGATTTATGTGGTATTTTTGTAATGTTTTAACTTAAGTGGGGGTAGTTTTGGTTTTTTTTAATATAATGTAATACAAAGACCTAGGGAGTTTAGGTTTCTAACACTGTTGAGGGGAACGGATTGAATAGTGCCAAAAAGCCTTATTTAGGGTTGGGGGGTCACTTTTTTGTGCAAGGAAAGCCAAATCCACTTAAATTCGGCTTATTTTGATGGTTAGTGAGCTGGTTTTGGCCTCATTTATCCATTTTCCTGCATCACTTGTATTAAGGCGCAGACCTTCTCATGATTTATTTGCCACTCAGATTTTGAATGCGACTGTTGCTCAATGATCTCCAATCAACTACCTCATCATCATAGGGGGAAAGATGGTTACTTGGAGAAGCAAAACGCAGAGTATAGTTGTGCGGTCCAGTGCACAAGCAGAATATTAAACCATGGCATCAATTATATGTGAGGTTTTGTGGCTGTAAGCACTCCTAAGTGGGATGGGAAAGCACATCACATTGTTTATATCTATGCATTATGCAACCAAGTTGCTATCTCCATCACCACTAATCCCGTCTTCTATGAGAGGACAAAGGACGTCAAGGTTGATTGCCATTTTACCAGACAAAGTGAAAGCAAAAACTATATGATCATCATTTTGCCAGACTCAAAGTGAAAGAAAAAACTATCCACTCCATATGCCAGGACTGAAATCAGTAGTTTTACCAAGCTGATGGGTTGAGACTGTCTTCATATCATTATGAGCAAGTTGGGCATGCATGACATGCACCAATTTGAGGGGGAGAGCAAAGAGTGCGTATATTTTATATTTATTCTGTATATGTAGTTCTAAGTATGCATGTAGGTTCTTTATCATTCTTTAGGACTGATTGGTGCTTTTGGGCCCCTTTATCTTTCCACGTGTCACGCTTCCCCATCTGTGATTCCCTTGATCAAATTCATAACCTGATTTCTACCCCATTTAATCGAACCTTCCTAAACCTAATAACCTGGACCGTCCCCTTCCAAAACCCATCACGCATACCCTTAATCCCAGCAACCCCAAATTGCCCCAAATCTCAGTACATATCTATCAAATCTGTCAATTGCCTTGGCAGGACCCACAATCAACCTAAACACCTTTAACACCCTTTGCACCTATCCCTTATTGTTTCCCTAATTTTATCTACGTTCTCTGTCAACGTACATTCGATCCTACCCTATGGGCCACACATTTCTTAACCATATTCAAACTTGGAGACCTCAATTCTGTCATAATCCTGCTGTCCCTTATTTTTTAAGCCTACCTTGCGTGTTGTACTAGCCCCCCCTTTGTCCTATATATCAGTTGTGGTTTGAGAGCAACTTCTTCCTTGGGAGTTTGCTTTGGATTTGATCTTATCTACTAGACCATGTCACACCTATGGCTCTCATCACTGTAAAAATCAATTGAAGTAATTAATGGGCACGATAAATGCCAGGCAACAAGTTCTCAATGACTTTGTTGAGGAAATAAGTGTCATTCGACAATCCATAGCCTATAGAGCACACTAATGGCCATAAGCCGATTATTGACTCAGCTGAAAACAAGGCGCGTAGCAAACCTACAGTCTGTAACGACCTCGCATATCATTTCGTGCAGATCCTGAAAAAAAAAGAGCGTACAATCTACCCCTCCTCGTAACGGTATTAGTGGTTCAATACAGCTCACTAGAGTTGACTCAACTCCTAGGGAAACCTTTAGAAATCCTCCAAAGGATTGACAGGTTCATGGTGGCAAATGAAGGTGCTCTAAACCTGGATTAGTAACTCCACGACATAGATAACTCTTTAAATTCAGCCCTGTCCCTGTCCATTCCATTGGAGAGGCTTGTACCACTTCCGAGGGGCATGACCCTGAAAGAAAAGATTATCACTGACCACATTAAAACTGGTAGTAACCCCCATGGTTTTTCTTTCGTGGTGGACTGGGTCTCATATTCTTTAAGCCCATATTGCGTAGTATTTGTGTAAGAGCAAATCCGGCCCTCCCCACCCCCTGGTCATTCATTAATTAGCCTTGAAGAACTTATTAGCTTGTTAGTCTCCTGAAGATCTGTGGAGTATGCGATTTAATGTATATCAACAGTTCATAGTCAGTGCTTACGAATATGTAAGTTGTTCTTGATTGCTTTTGTTGCTCATTTTCTGGATATTCCATAACTGCTTGTAATCAGCTTAGGTACAATATCATTTAGTTTTACACGTCTTTCAAGATGCAAAGGATTGATCATGCTACATTCCTGTCATGCATTGATTCATTGCTAAGATGCACCACAAGTACACATGAAGGCCATTAGTCTTTGTCTCGACTTTTGCAGGTATCTTCTTATGACAAGTTTAGGATGATATAGTATGAAAAAATGGGAAATGGGAAGTCAAGTCCAAATACTTCGGCAAAGGCACATGTGCATCAACCTTCTTTCGAAGCGAGTGCTCCTGTGGGTCATGGTGGACATAAACAGATGTCTTCTTTCATTGCTGATCATTTCAGCTCACTTGAGCAGGTATTTATCGATTTCTCTATGTATTTTACTTTTTCCCACTTTATGACATTGAGTCCATCAGCTATGCTTGGTTGATTTTGTTGGTCTGACCAGTTCTACTAGCTGGTAAGGACTGTCAAACAGACCAGAATTGTGAATAAGGGATTACTTTTGCTAAGTAAAATTTTTTTGGTTTCTAAAACTTCTATATACACAGATATACATGTAGACAGACTTACAGATACTCACAGTTTTGCTCGTGTGTGTAAAATAGTTGTGGTTCCATGACATAAAACTGTAGAAACCACCATGGGCCCAAGCACCTAGCTTGGTGAATTTGTTTGACCTAGATTTTTGAAAATCATCTTTCTCTCACACCTAAAAGGATTTTAAGAAAGGGGGGTTTTGAGCTCTGAAAAATTGCCACAAGACAGATGGTGCAGATCTTTTTTGACTTCAAAACATTTGTTTTTAGATTGATCTGCTAAGATGACTATAGAAGATCTCTAATTTTTGAGGTCAAACACACCTATCTGGGCAGTTTTCTACGGTTTTGTGCCATTGGCAGACCAAAGCTTTTCCCACACACGCACACCCAATAGGCATATATGTATTTCGCCCTTGGGAGCAAAATGTACATTTCCTCCCTCCCCCCGTCTCTCTCTCTCTCTAAATTACTCATCTCATGATCCAAAAGGGGAATCAAAAGTTTGAGATGAAGAAAATCCTTCTACGTAGGGCATTTGCCCTAGGATTTAAATGTAAATTTTGCTTCTACTGGCACATATATCGATACATGTGTGTGAGCACTGCATGCGTGTTCTAAAATTTGGCTACATAGCTGGGTAGGTGGTTCAGGTTGGCCAGCAAATCACATGGGCCAAGGCACCTGCCTTCTGCCCAAGGCACCTGCCTTCTGCCCAAGGCAGGTGCCCAGGGAGACTGCCGGAGAACACTTCCACAAGAAGAAAGGAGGGGAAAGAAAATATAAAAGAAAAAGTAGTACCTGTAATTTGTACAAAGTCCACATTGATTTATTTAAGAAGTCATGTTTTGAAAACATATGGGAAAAATGAATTATGAATGTTATCTATCCTTTGCCAGATTTTCCATGCATTTGCATGATTGATGGATGTCCATGTCTCTCTATATATCGAAGAAAAGAAGAAATGGGTTCATGGACATGTCTGTATAAGAGTCACATTAATTAAGATAAAATTCTGAAAATGGATAGGAATAATGGTTTATGTATGACCAGCAAGCTGAGCATGCTCCATTCCCCTTGCATATGCATGATTGATGGATGTCCATGTCTCTGAGTGCACTGGTAAAGGTTAAAAATAATACTTTGAAAAAGAATGGGAAAAGTAGTATTGTGAAAAGGGATGGGAATAGTGATTTATGCATGACCATGCTGGCCTTGCTTGATTCTCCAAGCATATGCATGATAGATGGATGTCTATCTCTCTCTACTTTGGGCCGTCTAGAAACCTTGGTACCCGTCTACATGGGCGAATCTGTTTTTTTGAAAATGGATTTATCTTCTAATGACTTCCAGAAAGCCCAATAAAAAACAGAAGAAAAAACTGCTTTTGAGCTCTTAATACCCTAGATCTTATTATCTAACAAGTGGGAGATCTAGATTTTTTTCTTAGAGTGCAAATGTTGATGGAGCATTCTTTGAGCTCCAAATCAAATTTTTCCTTTGTAGGCTAATTGCTGAGATGAAGAAAAATGATTTGGATGTTTTGGGGTCAGAAAAAATAATGTTATGCAGGTGTTTTGGCCCTTGGGCCAAAATTATGGAAAATGAGCCACATGCCTATTATGCTTCGTAAGGAATATGTACGGGCTATCCTCCTTGGAGGATCCGCTTCACAACAGTTTTTTACTTAGTTGATTAGGACATTAGTCTGTCTATACGATATTAGATCTCCTTCCACCAAAATGTTGGATAATGGATTCCCTGGAGAGGATAACTGCAATATCTCCCATAAATGTTCTATCTATCTATGTATTTAAACTGTCAATAAAAAAAAAAAGGGTAAATTTGATCTATTTATTTATGTTTTTGTTTCTGGTACATAAATTATGTAGTGCAAATTATGGTGTATGAATATAGCATAAAGAAAGATTCATATCTTGTTATGAGGAATGATAAGTAGAGCTGCGTCTACAAGATCCACGGTACATCCCAGCCTTATTGAACCAATTAATGGCTGGTCCTTATGGCATATATGTAGGACCTGCGACTTGGCTTCCACTCTCTTTCCCAAACTCGCCATCTATGTATCTGATGGTGTGAGCCTGGGATCTGCCATCGACGTCGAGTTAGAGTTTACGAACAATATCTCAGATCACAGAATTTACAAGCATTTTCCTTAATCTTTGTTTTTGAGTTATGCAAACATTACCACTAAACTGATGCGTGGCTTGACTTCAACAACAAACTGAAACAAGTCCATCAATTGTGAGCATCATAGCAACTAAAGAAACTAAGGTTTGGGACATTCAGGATGAGAGAAATTCAAAGACAAAGAAAAAGGAAAACAACTGCTCCACATCCAAGCAAGGGATATAAGAGTGTACAACTCACCATCAAAATTATGGAAAAATATCAGAAATGTCATGAGGGAGACAGCAAGCACAAAGAGGGACCAAGAAAACAAGTGATGAAGTCTAGTTATTTCTCTAAATAAGAAATGTCATGCTTCCTTCTTTTCAGCTCTTGTTCTGGCGCGCAACTTTGTTTATTCCTGGGGAGGCAGCAAAGGAGGGACATGCAGTGGGGGGTATCTACCGTATCTTGCAGGGAGAGGGAAGATGTGGTGTGAAGCAATATCTATCTTTACCCTTGATAGGCATTGTTTGTGAGTGTTTGTTGTACAATATGGAGAAAAGACCTTTTTTGAACAGTTTTAGCAGATTTCAGACTGACTGACTTAGAACCTCTACTTCTTTGCCCAAATTGCATTGTGCTTGTAACTCATTACTGTTCAATGAAAACATTAGTTTTAACTTAAGATGAAGTTAACAACCATCATTGTATTGTTTAGTTTCAATGCTGTGGTTATGAGAAGATCAGTTGTCAGGATATTGTGTAGTCTTTTATTGTATCTCTTGTGATGGATACCCTTATTGACTTATTATCACTGAAGTAGTCCTTTTTTTCAGAATTTCATTTGTTTTACTAATTAGGTGTACGCATGTCACATATCTGCGTTTATCTTTTCTTCCAGGTAACTTCTGCTTTGAGAGACTCTGGCCTCGAATCATCAAATTTGATTATTGGAATTGATTTCACAAAAAGCAATGAGTGGTCTGGTAAGAGAATGGCTTCTGGGATATCTTTCCAAAATTGAAGTCAGCATTATATCAGAATGCTTTAGCATTTTATTTTTGAGTCGTGTAACTCTCTCATTTTCTGGACTACAAAAGAATTATTGGGAATGATAAATAATAATGGCTGTGCTATTATTTGATGGTTCCAGGGAAATTCTCATTTAACAAGAGAAGTCTTCATGCCATCGGAGCCACACCTAACCCCTATGAGCAAGCAATTTCTATACTTGGACGTACATTGTCTCACTTTGATGAGGATAACTTGATTCCTTGCTTTGGGTTTGGTGATGGTTAGTGATTTTTTCTCGTTGGATGTGGTTTATTATTGTCTTTTTCAAAATGATTCATCTTTGTTGTGTTTTTGCAGCTTCGACACATGATCAGAATGTGTTTAGCTTTTTCCAGGATCACCGATACTGTCATGGTTTTGAGGAGGTTCTGGCTCGATATAGGGAGATTGTTCCTCATTTGGCATTATCAGGTAGAGGACCTGTTCTCTCGGTAACTTAATATAGAAAAGATGTTCTTCGTGTATGTTTTCTTTTTTAGTTTATTTAATGGGGTTGGAAATCTTATGTTTTAACAGACATTACAGGACTTTCAGTTTCTTAGAGCATGTTGATTTGGTATATATATCTTCCATACAAATGGTGCTTATGAATTTTGTAGTATACGGGGAGTGACATATCGTGGTAGATGTGGAAACTTTGCTAAATTCTCTAATATTTTTCTTTGAATTATGATAATGTTAATCCAGTAAGCGTTTAATTTTTGCCTAAAGCAAACTTCAAAAATTAACTACCGCTGTCTTCATATTATTAAGAAGGTTTGTGATATATATTTGATCCTTTTCTACTCTCCGCAAGGGTACAATGTCTTCCTTCCAATATTTTTTGCATTTTTTCTTTTTTATTTGTAATCACAATTCTCTAGCAGTCCTACATATTTAACTTCAGTGTTCTTGTAGTATCCGATCCACTAGTTTTTTCTGTTTCCACATTGTGAATTGTCTGTTAGTGATATTTTGTGCTTGGTAACATCCATATGAAATCCCCCCTATAATGGATATGCCGTCCACGTCAATGAGTACAAATGTACTTTCCGTTTATGGTATTCTACTGATCCCTTATGTTATTTCTACGGAAGGTGAGCACTCATAATGACTATTGATCAGTGAAACTGAAAAACTTAGAGTGAGTCTTCTCAGACTTGCCCAAATAATTTGAGCTTGTTAGGCTGCCGAGTCTGTATCACCTCCCCAAACTCGGGGTATATACTTTATTGGAAAATTTCCTCAGTACACACTAATTTATGTATCATTTCCTAGTAGACCCACAAATTAGAAAAGTATCCATTGGTATTAGTTTTCCAAAAAGGCTATCTCCTAACCCCCAAAACCCATTTGACCCTATTTTATGTCATTTTAAAGTCCCAAATTAATTTTGAAATGACGAACTCTCTTTCTCTCTCACTTTTTACTATCTTCTTTTCCCTCTCTCTCTCTTTTTTGCATTTATAAGGCAGAGCGTTCATCAGTTACTGACTCACTAACATTAACATGTGTTCTTTGAACCCAGGCTTAATTGGTTAGCACTTGACTATTTGCAACGCTACGTCTTAGGCTCAATTCCTACCAAGGGTAGGGACCCTCTCCCCATTGAATCACCCAAAAAAAAAAAAGTGTTCTTTGAGCTCTCTGTGCGCCGTTAATACCCTAAAACATGGCCTCATACAGAGAGAGAGAGAGAGAGAGAGAGAGAGAGAGAGAGAAAGGGGAAAAATATGGTGGTAAAAGACAGAAAGAGAGCCTGTCATTTTGAAAATTGTTTGGGATGTTAAAATGTCATAAAATAGAGTCACATGGATTTAGGGGGTTAGAAGATAGCTTTTTTGAAAAAATAATGCCGCTAGATATATTTCCAATCTATAGGTCTATTGGGAAATGGTACATCAAATTAGGGTGTACGTACAAATTTTCCCTATTTTATTTGTAATTAATTATATCTATAATTGATTAAATCTTGGTCTGGATCATTTATAATTGCTTTATATTTTTTATTATGTTGTATATTACTTTTTATTTTTTGTGATTTTTAATGAATTTTTCATTTTTCTTGTTTTTTGTCATTTTCTTTATGTAAACTGTACCATTAACTGTAGAACTGCTATACTGCAGCTATAGTTCTTTGTGCTGCCACAGTTCCGTGAAGGTGGTGTTAGAGTCTCACTACAGATGCTGCTATATTTAGAACCAGAGAAACTTATGCAGTATACTCGTTAATGAAAATAAGGGATTAATCTCATATATGCACAAATGATTGGAGTGCGCAAAGTTCATAAATACCTTTATGGAAATGTTATGAAAAATCAACCCCTGACCTAATAAACTCATTACATGAACTAAAAATACATGAATATAAACATGAAGTGCGACAATCTCGTAAGCTCAATCTCATGTACTAAATAATCAGCCTTTGACCACCTCAATTTCTTGCTGAAGTTGGCAACCATGCATTCTTCTTGATTGAGGACAGCACCTATGCCAATTTGCAAGGCATCTCAATGTACTTCAAAGATATTATTGAAGTCTTGGAGTATTGAAGCCCGTGCCTCAGTTATAATCCTCTAGTTCAGCTAGAAACTTTCATTCATAAAGCCATTGCTGTCATCGATTAAAAAATGTCCTCCATGCAATTTGTTATAGGAGTTTGATGGTGCTGAAACTCCTTAATATTTCAGATGGTAAATAGCAAGGCCATGAAAGCTCGGGAACTCTTCTATGATCTTAGGTGTAGGCCTCTCTATTATTGCCTTAACCTTCGTTTGGTCGACCCTTGAGCCATCGGCTGAGACCGCAGAACCCAAAAATACAAGGTTATTAGAAACAAGCACTTCTTAAGATTCACATGAAGTTTCCTTTCACTTAAAATTTGCAATACATACAGTAAATGTACCTAACATTTTGAATTTCCATCTCTATAAATAAGAATTTAATCAAAATAACAAAAACGAACTTTCCAATAAGCAACTTCAAGGCTTGGTTCATCTTGTGCATAATTTTACTTGGGGTGTTCGTCAAACCAAATGGCCTGACAAGCCACTCATATTACCCCTTTGCTCTTCAATCCCACTTACCATTCGTCACCCAGCTAGATGGAATTTGCTGGTAGTTGCTGTGAAGGTCTATCTTAGTTAGAATTTTAGACAGCAATATTGTATCCAATATGTCAGGAAGTCAAGATATGTGAAGGTGGTATTTTATGGTTATTTTGTTTTTCTCTCAGCTGTCCGTGTGCACATGTGCCAAGACCCATCTTTCTTTAGAGTTAAGTAGCATGGACATAACACATGGCTTCATACTTTCCCCAACCAGTCTCTTCCTTGATATGTCACGGCCTTGCTGATGTAATTTCTCATCCCCTTGGGAATTATTGTGGTGGTTTCTTATGTACCCTATCAATTTCTGAATCTGCTCTGAGAAACCACCACATGTTGGAATACTTCTCTACTCTCAAAAAGGAAGAGAGTTTTTGGCACCAGAGGTCCAGGGTCAAGTGGCTCCACCATGGGGACCACAACACGGGCTTTTTTCATAGGATAACCAACTATTGTCTCCGGGATAATTCCATTTCGACCATCAAGGTTGGGAACATGAACCTGGACCTGCTCGCTGATTGAAGGAGCCATTCTCTCCTTCTTTAAAACCTTATACACTGCTCCTTCAGGTCCCAAACCTAGGATGTCTGATCTACAGTTTCTCTCTATCTCAGACCATTGGGCCCAATGGTTGGAACCACCATTTATTGAACCTGAAATCCTAGCGGCTTTAACTGAATTGGGTAAAGATAAAGCCCTAGGACTGGACGGGTTCCCTGTGGCCCCTTTCAAGCTTTTTTGGGATACCTTCAGACCTGACTTTGTGGATTTTTTCGAAGAATTCTTCCACAGAGGCATAATCCACAAAGCCATGAGTGCCACCTTTATTGCCATCGTTCCCAAAATTTAAGGGGCTGAAGAACTCAAGGACTTCCGACCGATTAACCTAGTCAACTCCACTTAGAAGATCCTCTCCAAAGTGCTTGCTTCCAAGCTTAAAGAGGTGCTCCCTTTCGTGATCTCCCTCTCTCCCAGAGTGCCTTCATCAAAGACAGGCAGATCCTGGATGGGATACTGGTGGCTCATGAATGCTTTCATTGACGACATTTAACCAAACAATCGGGTCTCATTTTCAAAATTGATTGGGAAAAGGCGTACGACCACGTGGATTGGGACATCCTCGACGAAACTATGGCTTGGATGGGCTTCGGGGAGCGAAGGAGACAGTAGGCCCAAGGGACCCCATCATCACTCACGTATAGTATGCTGACGATACCCTAGTCTTCTTAAATGCTGTCCCACAGGAAATTGAGATACTGCACCTCTTCTTTAAATGCTTTGAGTTTGCCACGGGCTTCAAAGTCAACATGGATAAATCGACCATGATAAGGGTTGCCCTCACTAGGTCTGAAACAAGAGCCCTCATTCCTCATTGGGAGAGCAAAGCGGAAGACCTTCCTACGAGTTACTTTGGCATTCCACTAGGCCTCGGCAAACCTAAAAAGAGCAATGGTCCCACATCATTGACAAAGTCGATAGACATTTTGCCTGGTGGAAAGGAAGGTTCCTTCCATTCGTAGGAAGATCTACCCTCATCAAGGCCACCCTGGCCATCACACCGGTTTACCTTATGTCCCTGTTCCACATGCCGACGATGGTCGCTAGCCATTTAGAATAGTTGATGAGGAACTTCTTGTGGACAGGAGATGCCAACGCCAAAAAATATCACCTAATTTCCTGAGATAAAGTTTGCCAACCCAAACACTTAGGTGAACTTGGCATCCGGGTCCTGAGAAAACATAATATCGTCTTGCTCAGCAAATGGTGGTGGCGTTTTTCCATACAAAACACCCAACTTTGGCCCAAGTCATTCATTCCGAGTACAAGAATCAATATCCCTCTACCTCTTAGTTGTTGGAAGGGAGAACACTGAGCAGAGCCTCAGGGGCTTGGAAGTCTTTCTTGTCCTCTCACACCCTCTCCTAGAAAAACATTCTCTTCCACCCTTGTGAAGGCCATCACATCCGCTTTTGGTCAGATCTTTGGCTGGGCCACACCCCACTTAAGGACCTTTTCTCCTCTCTTTTCTCTCTAGCCGCCAACAAATTGTCTTCAATCCACATGAGATGCCCCTCTCTGGTAATTTTAGAGTCTAGAACCATCTTTTAGATGGCCTCTCACCGATCCCGAAACCACAGATTTCCCCTTTGTCCTCCTTGCTTCACTCAAACTTCCTAGCCCTTCCTGGGCCAGATCGCTTGGTATGGACCCCTTCTCCTTCGAGTTCCTTCTCGGTGGCTTCTTTCTATCAGAAACTCTTGTTAGCCCCCACTTTTCCTCTCTCTCTATGATGTATCGTAGCTAAGGTGTGGTCCTCCTTAGCCC